GGACAAGCAGGAAGACATGAGAAACGCCATCCTACAGGACAATAAACCCTTTATCCTAAACGCAGAGATCAAATACATCAGATGGCTTACCTGACAGGCACCAAGCAAAGCGATGTCATCAATTATTATAGAATTCACAAGGCCAGAGGATGCTAATAAGATTATCAATAAGGGCCTAGTGTAGCAAGGAGAGATATACTAGAGCGAGCGCTACGAACAGCAGTGCCGCCTGAAGCAGTGTTTCAAGTGTCAGGCATACGGCCGTATAGGAACCCAGTGCAAAGTAGCAAAGACATGTGGCTACTGCGTGCTAGAACATGACTCAAGGGACTGCCCATCAAAAGGAGACCAGAACGCCCCCAGGAAATGTGCAGCATGCCGCGGTACACATGAGGCGTGGAACCGCCTGTGCCCAACTAGGAAAAACGAGCTGGCCAAGGTAAGGGTGGCCTACGCCAATAGGCCACGATACCATGCGGTTGCGCCAATGACGGGAAGTGACTCGCCGGCTGCTGCAGCAGGCCCCGCACTGCGGAGGATAAGGTCGATATGGGACACAAAAACAACCCAAGCCTCCGCGAGAGGCCAGAAGAGGGCAGCGCCGGAGGGGAAAGAAAACGAGGAGTCGAACCAGCGACCGCAGAGGCCACTAAAGCCTAGCAGAAAGGCGCTGGAAATGATAGACTCAAACATCACAATACGCCGCAGCACCCAAAACATGGACCTCAATAGCGACAGTGACCAATAATAAAATAAGACCAACTGAAGATACTGCAGTACAATATCTGTAAATCAAAGAACCAGGTCATGGCAACGCTACTCTGAGACCCAAGCATAGCGACCTATGATATAATCATTATCTAAGAACCCTGGCGCAATCCATTCGAGGACACAACACACCACCCCGCAAAGAACACCTTCCACCTGTGCTATCCAATGGACAGTATGAAGGAACACCCGGCGCGGGTATGCTTCTTTATTAATAAGCGCCTAGACCATACCCGCTGGCAAATCGAGCAATATATACAAGACCTATACACACTACAGATCCTCATAGGCGAAGAGGAAGTAGAAAACGAACTGATACTGCATAATGTATACAACCCAGGCCAAGGCGAAGACCAGGCAGCCACCCTCCCAGTCTTACGAGCCCAGCTAGGGAAACACGCTACAAAAGAGCAGATAGTGCTTAGTAACTTCAACCTACACCACCAACTATAGGGAGGCCTAGGAGTTATAAGAGAAGAGCCAGAGTCAGAGGAACTCATCGAGATTATGGATGACCTAAATATGATAAATGTGCTGGAACCAGGCACAATCACATTTAACAATGGCCTTAGCCAGACGACCATAGACCTCTGTTGGATGACGCTAGGTCTGGTCAACCGGATAGTCCGCTGTGGAATAGATAAGGATGTTGACCATGACTCTGACCACCTACTGATCAGCACCACGCTAGATATAAGGATCCGGACGACAGAACCCAAACCCAAACACCAGTAGAAACACCTAGATGAGGAAAAGTTCTGCGAGGCTCTCAAGAAGGTCCTCACACCCAAGCGCAGGCCAGACACAAAGAAATCGCTAGACAAGTATGTCCAGCACATTGTCACCGCAATCAACAAAGCGACAGAAAGGGTCCTACCTCTAAGGAGGCCTAGCCCTAAGATAAAGGAGGGGTAGGACGACACATGCCAAGAAACACTTGCAGAAATGAAGCGCCTCCGCAGAAGGTACTCCCGGCGGCTGATGGCTAAGGCGTGGGAGGACTATCAAGAAGCTAGGAAACTCAAGGGCAAGACCATCGCAAGAGCACTCCAAAAAGCACACAGAGACCGGGTGACAAAAGCGGCGAGCTCGGCCGAGTCACTATGGAAGGTCGCAAAATGGGCACGAAACAGGGGCAACCAAGCCCCAAGCATCACACCCACAATACGGAGGCCCGGTGCCCCAGGGGACACCCCAGCAACAGAACCACAAGGAAAGGCGGATATATTCAGAGAGACCTTCTTCCCGCCCCTGCTGGAGGCGGATCTGAGCGATATAGAAGGGGCATCCTATTCAGGGCAGGTGCAGATGCCAAAGGTTACCAGAAAGGAAGTATTGGAGGCAATCCATGCCGCAGCCCCGCTAAAGGCCCTAGGGCCAGATAGGATATCTAACAGGACGCTGCAGGCAGCCGCAGGAATGTTGGTACCATTCCTCACGACCACCATTAATCAAAGCCTAAAATTAGGCTACTGCCCGGCCCACTTCCGTGAGTCAACTACAGTGGTTTTGCGTAAGCCTGGAAAGGACAACTATACAACCCCTAAAGTGTACCGCCCGATCGCACTACTAAATACAATTAGGAAGGTCATGGACGCAGTCATCGCCCGGCGACTCAGCTTTCTGGTAGAGAAATACCAGGTGCTCCCCAGCCGACACGTTGGGGGCCGAAAACTGCGGTCTACAGAATATATAATACATGCCATAATCGAACGCATTTATAAATCATAGGATAAAGGCGAAGTGAGAGTAGCTAGCCTTCTCCTCCTAGACGTGATGGGGGCATTTGACAATGTCTCTACCAAGCGTGTCCTACACAACCTCCGGAAGCGAAAGGTAGATAAAACAATAATACGCTGGGTAGCGAGCTTCCTGAGCGGCAGGCGCACCAGAATCGTGCTCGACAGATACGAATCTGAGGAGTACCAGATCAAAACAGGTATCCCGCAGGGCTCACCCCTTTCACCCATCTTGTATATCTTCTATAATGCAGATCTTATGGAGTAGTGCAGGCCAGAGGATGTGATAACAATAAGATACATTAACAACACTGCGATCCTGGCGTGCGGTAATTCTACAGATAAGACATACAGGAAGATTGAACTAGTACTTGAAAAGGCCCACCACTAGGCAAAAACCCATGGCGCGAAATTCGCACCAGAAAAGTTCCAGCTAGTACACTTCACAAGAGCACAAAGCCGTATCGACCTTAAAAGACCACTAGTAACCCAGGGAGTCACTATCCAGGCCAAGACTACATATAAGTACCTTGGGGTTATCATAGACTGAAAGCTCAAATAGAAGGAACACGTTATAGAGATACGCTAGAAAGTCATAAAAACAATTGCCGCACTAAACTCCATCGGAGGCTCTACCTAGGGCATAGGCCTACAAGACATGCGGAAAATCTATAGAGGCATGGTCGTGCCACAGATGATGTACGCATGCTCCGCCTGGTCAAACCCAGGAGGTACAGAAGGCACATACACAGCCGCCACGCTTAAGACACTCAAGACCCTCCAGGCTCAAGGCGCGAGAGCTATATGCGGGGCATATAGGGCAACCTCACAGGCGGCCCTGGATATTAAAGCGCACCTGCTCCCTATTGAGCATTAGATATAGAAGCACAACGCGGACACACTAGGCCAGATCCTCATAGTTGACAGCATACCGGAGCTATCGAGCGCCGGTAATGGGGACAACCCCCCCTCCCAGCATAGAACACCACAGATAAGCCCCCTACACTGGATCGCCCGCCGACTACAAGAGCAGGGAGCCATCAATCTTGAAAAGCATGAAAAGATCACGCCATTTATAGCGCCACCATGGCAGCAAGGACCTGTAGTACGGATTTCAACAAACAACAATGAAGCGCGGGCGACCCATAACAGGATCATAGCAGAGGAGGGTCAAGCTTATATCTATACAGACAGGAGCAGTATTGAGGGTCACACCGGAGCAGCGGCGATATGGCCAATGGAGGGTGAATCAAAAGGGGCCTACATGGGGCCTGAGACCACGTCGACTGTCTATGCCGCAGAACTACAGGGCATCAACCTTGCCCTCGGGATGGTAAAAGACGCGGGTGTAAAGCTAGCCCGTTATAAGCAGGTGCACATATTCACAGACAACCAGGCCGCGATACGCGCCACAATAGGACCCAAAGGCCGCTCTGGAGCATACATTACTAAGCAGATTGTGCGGCAGATCAAGCAACTATATAAAAATAGCCATACTATCACCATCCACTGGGTCCCGGCTCATGAAGGGATAGATAGTAATGAAGAGGCAGACGTGGCCGTAAAGACCGCCGCAGGATGGGCAGAAGACAGCATGGAGACCTGTAGGGCTCCAACACCTCCCCACCTTCATCCGCTGAGAACCACGCTGAGGACGTAGGTCAATAAGACCGCCCGCACCTGTTGGACTAAGAGCTGGCAACAGGAGATGAAAGGCAGAGCTACATACCGCCACACACCGCTGCCAGATAAGAAGGTGCTACAGCTACATAAGGACCTAACTAAGGCCGAGAGCGCCTTACTCATACAAATGAGAACCGAGAAAATTGGTCTCAGAGACTTCCTCTTCTTCCAACGCGTACCAGGATTCGAGAACCCAGGATGCCCTTATGGAGGAGGCCGCCAAACAGTCGGCCACGCGCTCCTGTAATGCCAACTGCTCCAGGACGAACGACAGATCGAATTCGGGAATCTACCAGGTAGAGAGGACCTACAGAAGATCCTCTCGACGCGCAAGCTAGCCACGAAAGTAATCGCACTTATAGAACAGGTAAGGGCCCTAGGGCAGAGGGCGCCGAGCGAGTAGATGAGCAGAGCATTGGGTGGAGACTGGAGGTATCACAGACGGCGAAACACGGGGCATGCCCCTCTGAGCCTATACACAGTGGAATCATTAGTAGTAGAGCCAGTATCAGTAAATAGTGACAGCCATTTGAAGGTCAAGGCAGATGGTAAGAGGGTAGGTAAAAGAGGAGACTGGCCACGTTTGTTGACTCTTTGAGACTACACACGTGGTGATGAGGGACGTGATGGGTCACATGCCAAGGTTCTCGTCGGGGGAATTGATTCGGACCACCTCGATCTTGTTTTGGACCACCTCGCCAAGCCGCTATACCTTAAACGCATTATATAGTCTTTATACCCCTTTTATTTCGTGTAATATACGCCTTAAGTAAACAGATTGAGATAGAACCTTAGCTACGCGCGGTGGACGCGTCTTCTATACCTTTACGCGTATTTGCCATCTTTGATCTCCGTTACGAGTCAACTACAGCCGACTAACCAGTTGCCCTGATGCCTCTATCTTTAGAGCCGCCTCCAGAAGGCTTATATGGCTCAAAAGAAGATCTATTGATGCATTGTAAAGAGCATGCAAAGCAAGCTGGATACGCTCTTTCAATTCTGAAGTCGAATGCGTATAGCAAGTCTATCATCATTGCCTGCGTGTGCTATGGTCAGCTGGCGAATAAATGGAAGCTCACTGAGGAGAATCGGAAGCGTCCGAACCATTCATCAAAAAAAACGGGGTGCCGCGTGAGTTGTATTGGAAAAGAACAATCAGATGGAAGGTGGCGCCTAACAATAAGAGAAGGGGAATATAATCATAGGCCTGCACCGGTAGGCACATACGCAGCGCACAGGAAACGGGAAACCCCAGTCAAGGAAAGAATCATGCAGGACTTATGGGCTGGCTGTGCTGTTCGTCAAACGCATGCGCAACTGCAACAGCAGTTCCCCAATATTCTCATTACCAAACAGGATATCTTCAATAAGCGAGTTCAGGCCAAGGCTAGAGCCTTACAAGGGAGATCCGTTGTGGAAGCCCTTTTCTCTGAGTTGGAAGACAGTGGCTACTACTACCCTCATCAAACTTTTCCAGAAAATCATGAGAAAGCAGGGACCCTCAGTCACTTACTAGTCATTCATCCACGCTCCCTGGCAATATACAAGGAGAATTTCGATGTCCTGATTCTCAACTGCACGTACAAGACAAATCGATATAACTACCCGCTTCTGGATCTAGTCAGCTATACTAGGATGAATACAATATTCAACCTCGGGCTATGCTTCCAGCACAATAAGGTTTGTGGGCCTATAGTTATTATAATTCCATTACAGTTACTAACTTAAGCATGCCAGACACAAGATGACTATGAATGGACACTCGAGCAGCTAAAGGCAATCTTTCACGCAAACCATATTAAAGCTCTAAATGTTTTCGTCACTGATCGTGATCTTGCGCTACTTCGAGCTCTTGCGAGCACGTTTCCCTCTGTCCCTACTCTACTTTGCTATTGGCATGTTAACAAGAACGTGCTCACTAGAGCACAGGTGCATATGCTAAAGGTTGTAGATATGGAGAAGTCTACAGAGTCTTGTGTTGTCACTAAAGACTGTGAAGCATGTTCCATATTTATGGCTGCTTAGTATTATCTGGTCGAGTCAGAGACAGAAGACATCCTTATCAAACGGCTTGAAATACTTCATACTAAGCATCAAGTAGTAGCTGAGTACTGTGAATACAAGTGGCTGGACCTATACAAGGAGAAGATTGTTCGGGCATATACAAATAAATTCACGTACTTTAGCACTATCATGACTTTGAAAGCAGAGGGCTGCTATGCGAAAGTTAAGCGATACCTTCAAATATCCCGCAATGACCTATTTTGCTTCTTCCGTTTGATGCGAAATCTCTGGGATGCTGAACACACTGAGTATGAGAATACAAAAGGTCAAGGTATTATAAGTAGAGCTTTCAATACTAGAGGTGCAATCTACAATGCCGTTGCCTATAAGATTCATAAATATGCTCTTGGCCAGTGTCAGAAATTTGCTGTATCTGAGCAGACAACTTCGCAGTGTAAAGGTCTATATGCTATAGTATTTGGTATCCCTTGCAAACACACTATTCTCAAATAAATTGCTACTGCCACTCCATTGACAATACCAGATTTTCACCCCTATTAGTGGCTTGATCGCGACCAGCGTCTTGACACGCTAGAAACCCGCCTAGGAGAGCCTATACCAATACCTCAGCGGCGCCATGGAGCAAGAATCCCGCGGCGGGGTTTATATGGCGGTGGTCCCCGAGGTACTAGACGAGAACTGTCTTTCTTCAAAATTCAGGAAGCTTCCCAGTCTGGATAACATCAGCGGCAGCCAAGACGAGCGCGACCAGAAGATACTACC